GTTCGAAAAGCTATAGCTAATCTGAAACGAGGAAGTGCAGCTAGTCCAGATGGATTAACTCCAAAGGTATACAAGTATGAGGGTCCAATTTTAGCGATTAGGTTGACTAATATTTTAGCTAAAATCTGGGAAGTGGATGTAATCCCATCCAAATAGTCGCAATCACTGATTGTCCCAATATATAAGAAACGACCAAAATCAGCCTGTGATAGCCATAGAAGGATTAGTTTGACCAATATAGCATCTAAAATACTAACCACAATAATTATCGGGTGCCTAACAAAGACTCGTGAACTGCAAACTCGAGAAAATCAGGCTGGTTTCAGACCTGATCGTGGGTGCATCGACCACATATTCACCATTCGTCAGGTTTTAGAACACTGGCATGCTTATCGGCGTCCAACAATGACAGTTTATCTTGACTTAAAAGCAGCATTTGACTCTGTAAACTGAGACGTTCTGTGGAAGGGTTTGTATGGAAAGGTGTACGTCAGAAATCTTCTCAGGGCTTTTTACTCGAACACTATCAGTCGAGTCAGAGCTTATGGCGAACTGTCATCTGATTTTGCAACCTCAAATGGTGTCCGATAAGACTGTTCACTATCTCCGTTTTTGTTTAATTTCATCACAGACCTACTGCTGGAAATAACTCTCTCGTCGATTGAACTTTCAGGAATTGACCATCTACCAAGAGGTCCACTTATGGACTTAGAATATGCAGGTGACATAGTCCTGTTTCTTGAAGACGCTGATAAAATGCAAAGTCCTTCAGTAGCATTGACCAACAATGCCAGGGTGTTTGATGTGCGTTCTTCCTACGCTAAATGCAAGTTGTTGCTTCAAAACTGCCTGAGTCAGCACCTTAGCTAAGGATCGGAAGTGAAGTAGTTGAACACGTCTGATCAGCCCAAGTGGGATGGTGTCTGACGAAATCTCAGCACGGATTCAGAAAACTCGTTTGGCTTTTGCCAACTCACGTCACCTATGGCAAGGGCGAGATATCCGTCTATCAATTGAAGGACGAGTATAGTGCGCAGCAGTTCGTTCTGTTTTACATTGCAAATGTGAAACGTGATTGTGAAGGGCAGAGGATACTCGCAAGTTACTAGTATTTGATCACAGATGTCTTAGAAATGTTGCTCGTATCTGCTTGGATCACCGGGTAAGTAATAATGGTTAGGCGCAGAGTATTAGCGAACGATGGTAAATCAGTTGATGAGGTTGTAAATCTTTATCAACTGAGATTGTGGGCCCACGTATTACGCATGCCCAATCACCGATTACCACGACGTGCAATGCTGACTAGTGTTGGAGACGGTTGGAAGAACGTTAGGAGTGGTCAAACCATCAGTCCATAAAGTCACTAAGTAACTCTTTTTCCCTGTATCATATCCTTATATGCAATCTGTTTTTATGCATTTCTAACACTGAGGTAGCTGCTTCTTTTAATACGGTATTTGTCTTGTTGTGTTAATAAGGTATTGCAATTAGGACTAATGCATATATTTGCCTGGCATTAATCGAATAGAGGTAACCTATTACTGTATTGGTAAAAAAAACACGACCAGAAAGTCAAAAATTCAAATAATCTAAGGTTAGCAGTTGTTATGATAAGATTTATATGAACGTTGATAAATGTGAGTACAATACAAAACCTAAGTATCGATTTTGAGAAAAAAATAGAGTTAAAAAAGACAAGATTATGATAAAATAGGCGTAATGTATTCATTAATTTTTATGAAATATCAGTCTATTGAATTTAAAATACAATAATTAACCCAAATAAATAAATGAGAACCAAAACAAAAATTTAAATTAGATCATTAACTTATAACACCTTACTTTTTCACGATATTCTTCTTGTGTTATCACATTTACAATATTAACTCGACCGAGAAGACAACTAGTAGGATATGATGTTGGCATATCTGATTTGGGGACACCTATAATTAATAATAGTAATAAAAATAAAATTTTGGAATATTTGAGCAATATCATGATATTAAAATCTGTGATTTCATAATTCTGCATTATACAATTATAGTATAAAACAGAATAGTGTGCATGGACAAATAATTACATCAGATGCTGAAAGTTTAAAGAAAATTGAAACCATGAGCTTAAATGTTAAAGAAGAAAGAGTTTTAGTTACTATCGTTTAAAAAAGATACTTATAAATATTTTCAGTAAAAATAAGGATCTCTTTAAGCGAATTACTCTTCAAGTTGTATAAGAGGGAAATAATAGATCTAAGATTTTAAAGAATAGCAGTGGTAAGTTTAGAACAACGTCTTTACAACGAGATATTATCTCCACTTTGAGAAATAAAACTGACTGAACTTGAATGAAACGCCCAGGTTTTTGTCAAGATTAACAAAGAAATCCAAAGCTTTAGAACACAACAATTTAGGTGAGTGACATTTTTAAAACGTATTTCTATATCTGATATGATGGAAAGAAAAGTCAATTTTCGATCGGTTTACTCATGAATTTTGTTCAAGATTTCTTCCGTTTTGATTCAATGTAATGATTACTGAATGTAGTGTTTGCTTTCTTTTCTCGTATGATATTTTATTCTGTATAATATGCGATATTCTTGTATTACATTGACATGAACTATGCTTAATATGAGATTTGTTATAACTCCAAGTATTTTTCATATATGTGATTTCATCTTAATTATTAATCAAAATGAGTGTACAATCAATATATAAATAAGTGTATTTTCTACTAGAGTCGTCGTCGTGTTTTGGGGTTAATAAATCATCACTTATACCAGTCTTTGTGTTCTTACTTTCGAGTTGTAGAAATCGCAGTGGTCCCTCGTTCCGAGTATAAGTGATAAACGTTTCCGACATAACAATCAGCGACGACCAGATACAAAAATTAGCATTAAAAGAGCCAAGACAATAAGCATTTAGACGACAAGTTATAACAATATCAGACTAAACCTTAAACTTGTTTGAATGCTGTACATAAGTATTTATTCGATACTAATGCTAGAAGACCGGGATAATGATTGCAGTTGAAAGAAACTCAAATGGCATATGAATCCAAACGAGTGAACAAAGAATTACCATTTGTGGTGCTGATTTATAAGGCTTGATTAATTACTATTTGAATTCACTTTAAATTATTCGGATACTTTCATTACCGAGGTGTCATATTAATAAAACGCTAGTTATCGCATTTAATTTTAGTTTATTCGGAATTATAATAATCACACAGTCATAAAAACATAAACTGTTGAAAGTACTGAAAATAAATACTATCTCACATATATAACAATTTCTAATCTGAGTGGAACTCCGCCTGTAGCTCTTCTAGGGTTACCACCGGTCCCAAGACCGGGTAAAGGAGGAGGGTTGGGCATAGAGTCAGCAATCCCATCCTTCAGAAAACAAACTAGCTAGAGAACACTAACCAGAAAAGACAATTTAAACTCGGTCCTCCGAGTTCAAGGATCTTCATTCAGACGAAATATGATGCCTCATGGATGAAGCCGAGATTCTTCGGAAGTTAAGAATCCTATCCCTCTTCTAATAACCAGAGCAACAATTTCTATAGCTACATGAACTATCTGGACAATGTGGGTGACGAGGAGGACCAATCATTTATTATTTATTAATTAGAACACATAAATATTGGTACAAGGGGGCACCAGATATATATGCACCACACAATAATAATGAGGATGGGAAAAGAAAAAAGAATGGAAGGTGAGTATAAGAGAGAAGAAATGAAAAAGAGAACAATAACGACCACAGATTAGTGTATGGTAGTGTAATAATAATAGTAATAATTGTGGGGGAAACGGCAAGGTACGACCGGAAAGAATTCTTTCAGTTAAGGATGTTACAACCACTTTTTATGAAGCAAGGTTACAGCAGGATCGCCACTGACTTCTACTCTGAGCCATATCTGATAACGTCTCTAGCCACTATGTTACACCATCTCTCGGACCCCAGCCAGGGAGTCGTGAAGGACCGACAGAAGCCAGCCCTTTGCAGCTTCCTTTCATACCACGACACCATGTCATGCACTGACCACCTCTCCGCTTTTTTCCAATCAGTCCCAGCGTCGGCAAATAATGCACGACGTGGAATTCTCTGGGACGACATTCGTAGAACACGTCCAAGCCACCGAAGTCGGTGTTTCAAGATGGTGACACCAATCGGATTATCGTCACTGAGCCCGAACACACGATGCCGAACCTCTGCATTACTAACATGATGTTGCCACTGGGTGTCAGCAATCCTTCGGAGACAACGATGATCAAACACAGAGAGTCGTTTAACATCCTCAACTCGGAGAGGCCAGGTTTCACAAGCATAGAGCAAGACTGCTCTCACCGACGCGTTGTAGATCCGACCTTTTACAGCCAGACTAACATCACAAAAGCGCTAAAGGTGGCCCAGATTGGCATAAGCCGCTCTGGCTTTAACTATACGTGAATCGATCTCATCAACACCAGCACTTATGCAGCTACCCAGATACACGAACTTCTCGACTACTTCTATCTGCTCACCATCCAGGGTGAGTACAGGATTAGAATCCTGCCAGTCTTTTAGAAGTACTTTACACTTCAAAGGTGCAAAGCACATACCGTACCTACGAACACTGATTGCCAACTGATTAGGTGCGGATTGTATCGCTTGGGCATTATCGCACAGTAAGACAATATCATCCGCATACTTTATTTACTTATTTATTTTAACACGTAGATATTGGTACAAGGAGGCACGAAATACATATGCGCCACACGGATCCCATTTGATATGTGTGAGGGCTGTGATACTGCCCGGGTGCCCAGACCGAAGCAGGTGTAAAGGCGAGGATTGGCAAAGCAAGGACAGCATCCATACAGTTGAAAGACATATGAAACTCAAGACAACTGTCTGCAAGTCAACATCAAATTCAGAATCTTCAATACGAAAGTCAAGACAGTTCTATTGTACGGAGTTGAAACCTCAAGAACCACTACAACCATCAACAAAAAGGTACAAGTGTTTATAAACAATTTTATACGCCGGATACTCGATGTCCTTTGGCTAAATACCATAGGCAAAAGACTATTATGGGAGAGAATAAACCAGCTTGCAGATGGAGAGGAAATTAGGAAGAAACTCAGGAAGTGGACAGGACGCACATTGAGGAAATCATCAAACTGCATCACGACGCAAGCACTATCTTGGAATCTTGAAGGAAAAAGGGGAAGAGGAAGGTCAAAGTACACACTACTCCGAGATTCGGCAGCAGACATGAACAGAATGAGTAGCAACTGGAAAGGATTGCTCAGGACAGTTGAATGGACAGTGCTAGTAACTGACCTATGCTTCTCTACGAGGGGTAACAGGCGTAAGTAAGTAATCTGAGTGACATGATATTAATATAATCAAACTTGTATGTATCAAACAGTGCATTTGTTCCTTGTATTAATAAAACTAGTTTCAACTTGGAAAAGTTAGTTATTCTCACTGGGTATGTATTCAGATAATCGTAGTGTAATTACATTTGTCTTTTTGAAAGTTATATAATGCCTTTTCTGCTTCTCTGTTAGAACGTTTGTTGTGCTGTAGTTGAGAAAGTTTTACTTCAAAGTACGGGTTAGTTATGTTTTCTCGTACCTATCGGTGAAATAACATAGAACAATCTTACTTTTAATATGACTAAAAGTAATCAGAGTTGAATTATGCATTTATTTGTCATCTATTCTGTACTCACTAATCTTCATTTAATGATCGAGATAATCGATATTTTTCACAGTTACGCTCACAGTAATAATATTTTACAACTGATTGCTATGTATAATAATAATAATAGGTTTATTTGACGTTATATGTTTAGTACAATGCGGAATTTTGGTATGCAAAAATAATTAAGTATAATCTATAAATAAAAAGACTAATCCACAGGAAACCTACATATACATATGAGTATTTACATTACCACATCCCTAACTTAGTAAGATTGATAGCAATTTATAAAACTAAACCTGTGTATCCCTGATATAGAATAAATATGAATGTTATGAATACTATAATATCATCTTTAGAAAGTATTTTAAGTCTCAGTAATTGAATATTTTGCACTGCATACACAACAAAAGAATAAAATATTACCAGCCTTCAAATATTTATTCTCGATTTCAGTGATTTCCTTTGGATCAGTTTTATTTGCTGTCGATGCTATCCACAGACATCCACGATACGGAGTATACCATGTTCTACCTTCTTCCCTGTTTATGCAAATAACACAGAGGAATTTAACAAGCATACATATATTTAAGTAAATCATTTTTAATGAGTCACAAAATCTTTGAATAATTAATGGATGAATCGATCTCATAATTAACCAAAAGCATTTTCCTACTAAACTTTGCCTGGAGTCCCTCCGGGGGCTACTGCCGGTCCCAAGCCCGGATAAAGGAGGAGGGTTGGGCATGGGGTTAGCGTCCCCATCCCGTAGAAAACTAACTCGCTAAAAAAACGCTAACCAGAAAAAAATTTTTTTGTTCCTACTACTTGATAAATATGCAAAAAGATATGAAATAAAACATTGTGAATATTCCAAAGATTTAAAATGAAAAGAGAAAAAAACGAATAAAGAAGTGATAGATATAAGACTCATAAATCAATCTACATAATTTACAACCATTGACTAAGTGGATCTATAGAGAATTCAACCAACTTGCTTGATGCTATCGAAGTGAACGAGAACACTAATCGGGACAACCAAATGTATTTGGATAAAAAATTACCGAATATCTTGGTAAAATCTGGGAAACATGCAGTAAATACTTCATTTGCACAGTGTCAATCAATTAAGTCTTGATTGTCCCTTTATTTTCACACCAATCATTATCTGTTCTCCTCTTCTCTTTGATCTTTTTAACGTTTTACAGCCAGGCATTTCAATTTCCATTGGTGATACATACTGTAGTGAACAGAACACGGATGGGGACAATCGAATGTATTTGACACAAAATTACAGAACTTGTTAATAAAATCTAACAATCATAAAGTAAATGCTTAATTTGCAAGATGTCCACCAATTGTCTCAAAATGACTCAAACTCCATTGTTCTTACATTTTCATACAAATTGCATCCTGTTTCCATTCTTTACTGTTCGATCCCCTTTTCTCTCTGCTGCCAGACCTTCTGCTTACGACTAACATATACTACTTATGTCAATATAAGTAGCACACACCACACCATAACTAACGCACAACGTTACACAAACAGGAGCACGGTGTGCAAACTGCTTAATTATTGAGTAAATAAAATAGAATAGTAACTGATATTTTGATATGAATTATGATGAATCATTCTTATCTCAAGCCACTAGTCGAATGAAAATCAATTCTACAATTTTGATGAAGAAATCAAACTGCCTTACTCCATTGAAAAATATTTTAGGGAATAATCTATGAATCACGTCTGATCAGTAAACAAAATGTTTTTTGAATGACTAGCATTGTATCAAAGCTTTTGAATGTAAACAATTTTTTTTCGAGAAAATACCATACATTTGTATCAATTGTAAAACAAAAATTGGCTTTAAAAATGCATACGAGGACTTACAACTTGATTCCACGTACTAATAATGAAGCCCAAGGTTGATGAAGGCTTAAACAATAACCTTCATCGACAAGTTGTCTTGACTCATCATCTTGTATTCGTAAAAGAGAGGTTGATTGATTTAATGCCACAATGACAGGATTTTGATCATCATAGTTTTTGCTATCCATAGATTGAGGTATAAACTACAAAAAAAGTGATTTTCACGCAATACTAAGGTTTTGACATTAAAATGAAATCTTTTTAAAGGTTAACTTTAAATGCACGGCTATTTTTTAAATTTTTTTCTAGTGAATTATTTTTTCATCCCCATTTACCAATAATTTTCATTCGGTTTCGTCCAATCAAATAGCTAGTTTTAAATTCGTTATAATTGGTAGTTTATTTCTTAAAATTGATATAAAATGTCAGAACGTGACGACAGAGCACATTTTCTTCCAGTTATGGACGGTAGTAACGTGCAAAGCACGAGCTCTGTCGTTTCTCACGTTGTCACGGAAACCGATAACCGATTCTTGAGCACATTGTATCCCGTAGTGCTCTAATCATTAGAACTTATGAAAAAGTTATGTATTTTCAATGTGCGGTGAGAGATTCTCATTTCCATAGAGATCGTAAGCCGTATATTAAATTTGTATATTGGAAAAATGGCCATATAACAACTAGCGGCCCCTCACAGCCCAATAGACGAAGGAGGTAATTTGATTAGTGTTATTATAATTTTTCATAAAGGACTTCCGTGAACATTCAATGTCCTTCCTTCATCTTTTGTACGTTACCAACTATCAAAATAACGTCGATATGAATGTAACGTTAAGCAATGACGAGGAAGAAATTGTTTCGGTTACCTCAGAGGAGTTCGCTGAACGAGACGACGACAATGACGAAAACGCGTTATGACAAGAGACTTTGTGATATTTTCAATCTTGCGCAACCGCCACATGAAACTGCTGATGCAAGTGCCTGGATATTTTGTACATGAGAAGCGATGTCCCATTTATTTTGGGCTTACGACCCATCACCACACGTCCATGGAATCCACTGTCCCATGTGCGGCGCTATAACGGAATCATAGCAACGCCTTTGTTCATGAAATTCGGAACTGTTAAGAGAACGAGTAAAGGCCGTTTTCAGGGCCACCCACAATTTCATTTAACTTCTTTTGTTTCAATTCTTTATTTCCATGGCAAAGGTCAAGTGATGAAGCTATCAAAATTCATTTTAGATTAATAATCACTATGTGATTATCGCCCACGTATTCGTAAACGCTTTTTAGGCTTTATCAAATATACGGTTTAAGTAAAGGATTTCGTATAGAAGAAAATTTCATCTAGTGAACACTAATCTGTCTAACAATAGTACACGGAAAACATATTCAGAATGTTTCAATGTTTTGTCATATATATACGGTAGACGAATGTAGTACGACCAGTTCACTAGTACAACGACATTATTTCTATGGGAAAGGTCAACTGAACCAAAACTGATGAATTCCAATTAAGCCTTAGTGATTAAGCAATATAATCAATTGAGATTTTTAACGATTTCGTGGACTAGTTGGAGTTAGACATTAACAGGTTTTCCGTTATACACTAACGCAGATTAAGTCGATAATAATACACAAGTATAGTGAGGATATATATTTCTACAGCAACCATTCATACGACTCAATAGGAGTCAGACATCAACACACAAAAAGTAAACAATTACCAGGACTAAACATCATATCAGCAGTGTGCTTGACTTTGCAATTTAATTTGACGAACGTTTAACTGATATATATATATATATATATATATATATATATATATATATATATATATATATATATATAGTTCAATGAATCCTGACTATATTTCTAGTGTATGTGATTGTCAATGAATAGAAATACCAATATCCTATACTTAGACCCAGAAAATACAGAGAGAAGCTTAATAATAACCCACCTACGAAGATTGATTATTAGTCAGCCGATAGGGTGACAATAAAGAGTACTATTATGGTGCGTGCTACTTATATTGACATAAGTAGTATATAACGCGAGTCAGGAATGTAATGTCTGGCAGCAGAAGATTGGGAAGTCAAGAAAGGAAGAACGAAAATAGAAAGCAATTAATATGAAAATGCAAGAACAATGAAGTCCGAGAAAATTATTGAACATTTTGCAAATTGGGTATTATAGTATGGTTTTTCTATTTTACCAAGTAACTGTAACTTTGTGCTAAGTAGGATTCGGTTGTCCTCACCTGTTTTCTCCTTCACTACACTATGACATCAACAAACACACAAATTAAATTATATAACGATGATAAAAAATAAAGAGTAGATAGAGTAGGGAGATTTGACAGAGGAAATACGAAACTAGGAATCACAATGTTAACTACAAAACAGCAAGTAATGAGATGTTATTTTCGGAGGATTTGAATACCTTCAACAGTTTAAATTGAGAAAAATGAGACAACTTACAGTAGGCAGGGTTATTTCACCATTATTTGAGTTAACAGTTTTTTGACTATCTCCGGAAGACTGATTAACATTTGAAATAGTTGAAGATTTACAAAGTTCATCCATTTCTTCTTGATTTGGATTGTACAGTTTCCCAGCTGCTTCATCTCTTGTATCCTTGCAAAGAAATAAAGTACAATTATAATAACGCTTCTAAAATATTAAGATGCACAACCACTTAATGAGACCGTTTCATAAAAACTTTTATAAGCTATATAAGTCTATATAAACATTCACATTTATATAGAGCCCGAACCAAACCCTCCACTAAATACTGATGACAAAGAATTCATATGAAGCATACTTTTGGAAATTAAGACATTAACAGCTTTGATTATAGATATTGAAAATAGGCAAATAGCCACGGTATAACGAGTGGAAGTGAAAAAAGTCACTTAAGGAAATAAAACATATCAAATGAGTAGCAATTCTAGAGGGCAATGATTTTTGTATGATAAACTTTCCAGTGACTTTGAGTTAAATAAAATACCAAATCTCTTGTTCGTGAGTCCTGTGCTTTCCCATCATAGTTTGTCTTTTTCCTTGCCATAAAGTTTTATTCAATACCCCGTAGTTGCATCCCAACACTTGGGGAAAAGATTAGATTTCGTTGAGTATGTTTATTGAGTCGTTTTTAACCTATAAGAATCTCTGTTGGTAAAATATTATACGGCATCGCACAATTAATAGAGGTGTGACATTCAAACGGGCTTTGGAGAGTTGTCAATGTTCTCTTATTTGGCAATTTGAAAATAAACAGCTTGAACGTGTCTACGAAGTTTTCCGCTTTGTCACTGAATTGCATATGACAGAGTGATGAATAAATATGTTAATCAGTGATGTCATCCGATTGGTATGAAATGTACCAAGAAAACCGGGATAATTTGCGGATAGATTAGTTAACACACTACAAGTTTCAGTCCTAAGTTTGTTGGACTGATTGGTTATGCAGTGATCATTTTTGTACGGGACTGATTTACACTAACGTCATCGATTTTATTTGTAATAAGTAAAACCTGACAAACTATTATGATTCACAATCCTAACATTAGGGCCTTTCCGTTGTAACAAGAACCTGTTCTGTGAGTATGGTATAGGAGATGAAGAGTTAGAGACATTCAATCCAGACACGTAAGACACTACCTGATTCGGAGTACGGCAAACGACATATCCTGCCAAAATACACAGAGATACTGATAAGACTGGAGCAATGTTATGCTTCAGACTGAAAGGTCGTCAATGCCCGTTAATTTATCCTGTATTTTAACAGCTTTTCCCATCATTCCATTTTTCATTAACAACAAACCCATCATGCAATGCTAAGACACTACACGTCTCACGTTACTAACTGCATATCAGAATCAGTAGGGTTTCTTCAGAGTGAGCATTACAAATAACAACAACACTTTTATGTTTCTACAAACCAAAACGACCTAGTTTTTTCTATCTCTCATAAAATGGTCCACCCTTACAATTAGTCTATTTAGCTTACAGTCTTTACTGAATGATAACTAACATGACACACAATTAGCAAGAAAATGTTTATGATTTATATATCTCTGCGGATGGTAAAAACAGACGATTGGAAGCTGTTAAACGGCTACGAAAAAGCTTTTTGGAATCCTTCACGGCTCTATTTGTAGTGAATAAATGTATTAAATAAGGAAAGGATTGATGCACAAATGTTGCTACACATACCAACAAAACAGAGTGAATTCATTATTACGCTACAGTTTGGCTATTGTATGAATCAGAGACTGTAAATAACATGAAAGAATAAATGCCTAATGAAAAATAACTTCCCCATTTGTTATGAAAACCGCTGACCGACACCGAAATCTTAACTTAAAAACAGCTGAATTAATAAGGCTTTATGGCAGAAACTTTCGACATAACTCTTCAGTAGACAGAACTGTAGTAATTAGATATTTTCGATGCAGCTTACTGTGTTATAGCCTAAAGCCGCTAATCAGGAGCAGCGAATTATCAATCGAACCAAAGACGCGTAAAACACGTGCGAGCAGCCTAGAGTCCTGATTGGTCCTGCTTCCCGCCTGGACAGCCAGTTAAGTCCAGAACACCAGTCTCAGCCTCTGTAATATGAATCCTTATATTTCAAACATGCTGAGTTTATGTACCAATCAAACAGACCACAACGTAGCATTAAATAGAAAATAACATTTGTACAAAATTTGGCCAGATGTGTCTGTGAATGTAGGAGGCAGTGATTAATAGACGGGGCATAATTCAAGAATGGTAAAACGTATAATAATGGTTCATAGGTCAAAATAAAGTTTATAATAAGAGGAATATGAATATGAATAGTTTAGTTATTTGACAATTATACGATAAAAATATACGTTTAGTATTGATCCATAAAAGGATCCCAAAGTTACCATTCATTATGTTTATCGGGACCTAACACTATGTAGATAACTACTCAACTATTTACTATGTTAGAATCTTGTTGTCAAGAAACCTTTATTTGTAGCCAATCAAAATCTTAAAGCTTTTATGGATTTTTGGAGTTTATTGAAATTTATCATAAGGTAAAACAATCAACACAATTCAGATCTATACAATATGACTATTTGTTATCTTAAAAATTATTTTACAGATCTCTAGGTTGAAAATTAGCGATCAAATATAACTGCATCGGAAAACAGAGGTTGAACCTATGACAAATGTTTATATTTGGTCATATCACATCATTCGAACTGTTTGAAGATATCACCTGAAGAGACAGATAGTCTAGAATAATTCAAAAATGCTGAACTTCATCTAAGGATACGTTGAGTCTTTCATATGAAGCATTATACCAGTAACTAACCAGTGTGATTAAATGATCACAGCAAAGATTAATTATGTTAAGGTTGAAAACAATGAGCTCATCAGAACAAGTTAAGAATCCAATGTTCATAGTGTAACGGTGTCCCGTTCTATGTTGAGGAACTTTTCACAGGTGAAATTCAACATCAAGCCTATTAAACAGAAATGAGACTATCAGTCAAAACTCAATAAGAATAACTCAATCAACATAAAATCAATAAGAAATGCTGATGAACATCATCAAGAGGAATGAAAGTTTCTTTAAAGAAGGAACATATAATTATTTCTTTGTAAAACATTTTACTGGGATAATTTTATGTGTTATATGTACATACTAACCTCTTTTATAACATCGCATTTGTCTAGGTCAATACACATACGTGCAGACTGTAGACGATGTGAATGTCTTTGGGCTCGTAAGTCAATTACGCGTTGAGCTATCTTCTCACGAACTTCAGGACTTAACCATGCAGCTGATCCAACGCCACCCTCTGTTGCGAAATAATCTAATTCATCATCAATAACTCTAGTTCGTCTAGCACAGGTAGTATCAAACTCCAAAAGTTTATCACGTTTACATAATGCATTGATTAAACCTAAAACGAGATTATAAGGGTAGGAAAGAAATGTAAATATCTTCCACTAAAGTGGAGAAAAAGAGGTATACTAAGAAGGGTTAACAGAATAAATTTCATTTTCAAGTATAGAAGCAACGACTGTTTACGATCAAACCATATTCAAGAGAGCATCATACATCCTTCAATCATAGAGTCTTAAGTATTTGGAATAAATAATATCTACAAATTTGACTGCATTTAAAACTACATTTCTTACGATATTAGGATGATACTCCTACAGAAGCAGCCCTTCTCATGAACTGGATTCTGCGTTCACGTTAATTTGAAAATGAGCTTAAGGTATTGTAAGGAACACATATAATGCCCTAATAACTTCAATGAAGCAATATGTATCGTAAATTAATTGTTCATGTATTGCTCAGTTCATCTTTTTAATTGATCACTACGATGGTTCCATCAACCGTTTGTCCAAAAGTAATTTTAAAAATCGAAATGCCTTGTATGCTTCAACAATCTAAAGTATATTATTACTCTCCCCAAGTCCATAACTCAATTTTCAATCAATAAACTGATATATATATATATATATATATATATATATATATATATATATATATATATATATATACCGGTCTCCTTAACAAGTCTGAACAATTGTCTGCTGTTACCTATTGCCGCTGCCTTTTCCATCTCTCTTGCTTCCGCTACCCACTACTTCACGATTATTGTGTAGGCTTTCATCAGCTTGCGCTTAAGCTGACTCCGCTCTTCATTATGTTCAGAGCCAGGTGGAATGAGTTTTCGAGTATCTATCAGTGCGGTAGATGCTGCTGAGATCCAGTGTTTCTCCCTAACCTTGTGGTTTACCGTACTAACAGATATCACTGCTGTTTCCACAGCTTTTCGGATATCATTCCATGCTGCCTCGGGGTGGGCATCACATATATGGCTGCCTAACTGTTCTCCTAGTTGTTCCTGAAATATACTCTTTGCTTGACCATCATTACGTAGGCCCCTAAGAGGTTTCCTTGCAGCGTCTTTCCTACGTCCAGTAAGACGCAAGAAAATACGCGCTCGCACTAGAGCATGATCTGAATATGAGCACGTGCTCCAAAATGAGAGACAGTCTTCTATCGAGCCCCTTCATCGGTGGCTGATAGCGATGTGATCTATTTGGGTCCAACGTTGGGACGAATTAGGGGGTCGCCATGTTAAAAGATGTTTTTCCTTATGCTTAAAGTTAGTATTTGCAAGAAACAGGCGGTTATCTGAGCATAGCTGCAACGGACGGTCGCCACTATCTGTTCTTTGAGCCGCGACACCATAAGATCCACCCAGGTGTCTTTCCCCATCGCTTAGTTTACCTACTTGAGCATTAAAGTCACCGGCCACTATTACTACATCCGAGCGCTTAGCTTTTCGGAGAAGGTCCGAAAGCTTTCTGTAAAATTCATCTTTTACATCACCTGAGCTGCAGTCAGTGGGAGAGTAGGCAGAGACGACGAAGAGGCAACGACGATTGTCCCTATCTTTTCGGATCCTTACTGTTCCGTTCAGTCGGACAGCGCACAAACGACTGTCTACTGGGATCCAGTCTAAAAGAGCTAGTTCTGCCCTAGGACTCAATGCTATACCTACGCCGGCGAGGCCGCGGGAAGCAGAATCAGGGCTTCCAGGTACACGAAGCGTAAATCGAGTCGGTTCTTTATTTTGGCATGGTGAAGTCAAATGAATGACGCTACTCGGATCCTGTATGCGCGTTTCGGAGACGCAGCACACATCGATGGCGCGGGATTCTAGAGTCTTAGCTAAGGAAGCCTGCTGTCCTATTTGGCACAGTGTTCGGACGTTAAAAGCTCCTACGTGTAGTTTAGAGCGCGGTTTCAGGAGACCAGGAATAGCGTTCCACGTACTCGAATCCTTTGCCCTAGCGGTGCGAGGTGATAAAAAGACGTGAGGAGGGTTAGTCATGGAGATAAGAGAGGTATTAGGAAGTGTAGGAAGGATTTGAATGTGACCAACTTGGTCTCGTGTGCTGTTACGGGTATGAGGGCTGATATCACTTCCCGGCTGCCCACACCGTGGAAGGGTATTTCTTGAGGAACCTGAAAAGGAAATTGGATTAGTGTTGGTCTTGACGACCTGGAAGCATGACCGCAGAGCCCAAGGGACAACTGCTTGAGGCCGGTCGCGCACGGCCTTTTCGTGGAAGGTTTTTGACGTGTTAGCTCCGTTCTTCAAAGGGCCTTACCGCCGGAGACGGAAATCCGTGAGGTAAGGTGAGGTGTGACATTTTTAGGGTCGACCTTTTCTAACCCCACCCCTCCTTGTGGGAAGGCAGCATCGCTGTCATGCTGGTTGTCTGAGGGAAACACCTTACTGCTGTTACACCCCTCTACAGTCAGCAGTACGACTTCGCCCTCAGACCTTGAGTTCCTGCTTTTAGCCTTACCGTTCTCCGATCGACCTGCCTGGCATGGTAGAACCTACAGGAACATATGTTCCAGCCAATATAGCTCGGTTGGGTCATCACGATAGGCAAGCGCGACCACCGCGTCAAGGTAGCAGCTTCGGTCGGTATATATGTATATATATATATATATATATATATATATATATATATATAGAGAGAGAGAGAGAGACTACCAAGTTTCGCAGAGGGTGTAAGGATCATGAGAATAAAATATCAATGATCAATCTTAAGTTGTCTCAGTAACAGAAATGGATAGTTTAGCTTACTTTTTGGTTATAATTCAATCGGGTTTAGGATATTTTTAATCTTTTAACTTGTAGTTTGGGAAAAAAATAAACGTGTTTGCAACAAATCATATCACATGATCAACAAACTTGCCTTGTTCCAAACGAATTTGAGCTCCCTGGGCTGGCTTTTTTATTAGGTCATTGTCATCACTATCACTTTCTAGTCCACTATTTGAATTAGACTCAGTAGAGATTATTTCACTAGTTGATTCTTGTTTTGATTTCTGAGCTCGACGAATAAGTCGATAATATGGAGTTTCAGTGCCAGGTGCCCATGCTGCTTGCGATAGTTTATTGTGTAGTTTCTGACTGTGTTTAGCAGTCCCTAGTGATAATTGGTATTCCTCGTCTATTGTACAAACAAGACTTCCACAATAATAACATGGACCTGAACCTTCCTGTGCACAGACTATACGACCACAATTTAAACAATTATTGACTAACTGATGCTTAGTTGCCAAACACTGACAAGGATGCCGACCAGGCAAGAGAGAAACAAGTTGATCGCTCTGAGCTCCTTCACAAAATAATGGATAGAACTTGGGTTTTTTTTTATTTTTAGTAGTTTGTGATGATGACTGCTCTACATCAATCTACACCATCCAGAGAGAAAATGGATTTATGAGGGGATGTATATTTACATATAAGTACAACTATTAGTGAGGCAAATTGGATATCGATTCTCAACATTATTGGTGAATTGATGAAGAATAGAGTTTCGGTAAGGATACAAAAATAAGCTTTTCTCTTTTCCCACCAACGGAATCTGTACGATATGATACATACCAGACGTCATATAAGAAAGCGGGTGTACTTCACAGTAGTCAGCTGTGCTGTACTCTACAGTTGTGAAACATAACCACTGTGCTGTTATGAGATTTTCAATAACTATTTCGGAAGACTTATTAACCAACGGGGAAACCACCGGGTGACCCAAGTTAAAGTGTAAACCAAAGTAAATAGATACCATGTGGATACTGCCAGGTATAGAAATTAGGAAAACGTTAGTGATGATCAGACGGAGATATGACATCAGGCTAACAAACTACTTGGACATGATCTGAAGAGTATATGGAGTAGAGACCTTTGAAACAGAATCCATGAAATAATCGTCTGCAGTAAGGAGATTGTTTATGATATTCTATATCAATTACTAGTCCATTGAAATCTTAAGTGTAAGTTTTGCTGTCGACTGCTAACTAGCACAAACAAAGGTTTATGCTTTCCTGGCAATCACCTCTATCCACCTAATTTCCTTAAAGTGATAAACAGAACACACTGATTAGTATTACTATCCGTCAAACCGACACCTAAACTTTTTGCATATTTCTATGCAAAAGGCAAATCCGAAATACGACGCTCCATGCATTATTATCATTGTTATTATGAAAATGTGCTTCCTTACCATTAAAAGTCACCAGACAATTAGAAACAGGCTTAGTTACTTATTGAAAAGTAGTAGGTCGAAAATAAAACATTATATGAATAAGAGACTGGTTCTTTGCAATAGGACATTTAGATTACAGCACACTTTATAACCAGTCAGTGAAAGATATAATTGTTATCTTAACACAAATGAAGTGGTTTTCATTCTGCTTATGTCTGATATATGGGAAATTTTAATAAGTAAATTATCAAATTCAGTGGACAAAACGGTGGCAATGACTTAACAGTATCTAAAGCAGAACTACAAAATTACTTTAATTTGGGGAAGATAATGAGAATTTTCGTGTAGAATAATTCGAATTACAAGGGGTTCCGCTAAGAAGTACAATTAGGGCCATTTATTTTAGGAATCTTCAAAAGTTTAGTTGATGAACAGTGTGTGGTCGCTAAAAAATGTATATTTCTAAACTATATATATGAGATATAGATTGATTTTTATGATTTTCATTTTATGTACTCGGCTTTAGATAACACTTTTGGTGCAACGAGTGTCAAAACTAAAATAGGTAATACAGAGTTCAAAGCTTAGACATGATGGTTAAATGACATGGTTAGCTACTAAACAACCATCTAGTCAAAACAAGGAAATTGTTACTCATTGTGTAAATGATAAAAATAGTTCCGATATACCACATGTGATATTATGTTATCTAAAAATAAAACAAACCTTTTCTGAATTTGAAATCCTGTCGGAAGATGTTGATATATTATTTAAAACACCTGAACTACAATTAGATTTACGATAACCCTAGGAGAAAAAAACACATTTGAAGTGAAGTTAAATTATTTGGCACACGATAATAACTGGAGTTCACTTTATAAAATACGATGTTTAAATCACTTTAAAAGTTTACATATGGTGCTAAATACAGACAGCCATCGCACAATATCCAGAATGAGTTGTTTTCCTAAATAACAATTATATGAGCAAAGCTTTCCATATCGCACCAAGAAAATGATTTTGAATAATTTTCCACTGAAACATTTGCTAGTTAGCAGCCCACCTAATAAAATAATCCGATCAAGAACGTATAATGCTATAACATTTGTGTAAATTATATCAAATGCAGTTTATTTCTTTTCATATGTATACGATTAAAGCATATACCGAAATAGAGTAGACCATTTGGTGGTAAACTCCACGTATAATAAAAATATGATTAGATCGATGCACCCATGTTCAAGTTAAAGTCAAAGTGGCTATAACATGTTTGGTATTCTTGGACTTGACGTCATTAGATAAAATTAATCACACCTTTTTCGTAACTAGAGAATTCCCTATCTTATTTAATGGTACTGAGCGCTATCAGTTTAATTAGGGATTCCTTACAAACATTCTGAATACTTGAAAACTGCTGACCATCCCTCTGCTATGTTTGCTAGTTCCATTCACTAAGAACTCAGCGGCCAATGACAACACCGTATAGAGACTGAGACTCAACGCACAGCAAATAAAAGGCAACCAGAGATAAGTTAGATGGCTTCGTAAAACACTTATCGTTCGGTCATTCAGTTTCGGATTTTTTACCAACTACTTTTACTAATAAACCATCACCGGCACACAATTTCATTTTTTGCATATAAAATATTCCCATATATCTTAAACGTTGTACCGAAAGTGGATTAAATACTAATTTGTGACTAACAAATATTTTGCTGCATATACGTAGTAACAGCGAATAAACTTATCTTTATTTTGGTTGAGTCCAAACAGTTTTTGTGCCTTTGCTCATCATATTCATAAGATAACCATGACAATCTGTTGCAAAACTCCGATAACAAGATTTTAGAATTATGAATATCTTTAAAGACGTGTATTTGCACAAAATGTATTAATACTGTGATCTCATTGGTTAGATAAAGCACTGCCATTATTATCAAATCATCTAATGAATCTCATGAAAGCTTTTTTCCAAATACTAGATTCTTTACAATTAATTTAGCTGGCGCTCTGACACTGTTCGCTCCTACTGGAAACGTATACACAAACTTACTACGGGAGGAGACAGTAGTTAGTTAAAACTAATTCCTCGTGCCATTATATATATAGTAATCTTTCATTAACATTTTGTATTTTACTGATGTTTACCTGTACAAACTATTTTTGTTTGTTTGTAGCCCAGTACCATTTACGTTCTAAAAAAACAACCGATAGAATTTCGTGTTACCTTTATCTTTAGTCTTGTCTGTTGTAATCGTAAATGGGTTAGCTGTGTTTGTTGGTCCAGCGGGTTAGATGCAATCATAAGTGAAATATGTAACTAATAGTCTCTTAACCGAGACACACAAATGCATTCGCTCCAATCAAATGCCTAAAATGCCAATGCAAGGAAACGCTGTTGAAAATTAATAGCCAAGTGTGTATACTGAGTAATTTATAAGCTAGAAAATTATCGGTGCTACAAACTGACCTCCCCAGTAAATCCACTTCTTCGTATCTTCTCTCGTATCAGAATTTCATAAACCTGACGATTTTCCATTTTACGAGTATCTAGTAGAGTAGATACACGTCTTTTTATCATTTGAGTATCATCAACTTCCATGCAAGCTCTGTAACAATTTATCAATTATACTTCTAAAGAAAGTAATTAGATCTACTTTATAAAATCCGTCGCAGCTTTTTCACCCAATGTCTTGGTCAATATACATTTTACTTTTTCCATTACGATCTGCGGAATAGGTGCACAACCGTATAAATCGTTACTGGAAGTTAGAAAACACACATCTTAACTAAACATTTACAAAGTCAAAGAAATTTGAAAGTAGTTAGGGACTTAGAATTGCAGCCACTACCGTCCTAACCACAAGCCCATGGCTTTAGTGAGGTGTGGGAACAATCATGTATCGCCTATGGAAGAGATATAATTCTAGAGGGTGGGAAATCGGGAAGTACCGATTGTTTCCAGGGCTATTATCACTAGCAAGTTAACAATATCCACAATCAGACAGCAGACATGAACGAGAAAATACCACGCTCCAACATACAACCATTGTTCGCAAAACATAAGAAATAGGATTGGAATATGACGAGCTTTTAACATGAATCCTAAGCAAAACGAAGCAACTTTTTGTTTGAAGAAATAAGTACAAAGTTTAGAAAACATGAGGTCTAATTTCGCTCAACAAAGCTTAGGGTTTATTGTAAGAATCCTGGAATTTGAGAACAAGTTTATTCTGGGTAGTGCATAATCTTTTGGAAGGCAAAGAGATAAGAGCGGGCCAAAGGTCGTGTCTATGATCTGTAGACAGTTGACTTTTCTATGCAACGTATCTTGTTCATTATTTCGCATTAACAGATCCTTCCTAACAGGTTGTAAAGAATGTACAAATAAATATTTTAAGAATGAAAGTCAACATACCGGACGTGGTTACTGAAGTATTAGGTAAGGTGTTTTATGAAAGACTTGGATAGAAACTCATTACCTTTGGGATAACGAGTAATGTATAATCGTAGAACTAAGAATATCTTACCCAAACAACCAGTAAAGGGGAAATAAAAGCGAACAAAGGGGAAATAAAGGGGGAAAGTGCCAAAATGTCTACTTTTTCGACTGCCAGGGGGAAATAATGCAAACTTTCCCCTTTTTGTCGCTGAATTGTCTACTTTTGCCCCAACTTTTAAAACACCATTGGCATAAACCCTAAGGTCTCCTATGTTCGCCTTTATTCCCACAACACACCACACTAAGACTGCAATCCACGTGAAAAACAGTATATGTCTAAATAAATTTATTGAAAAGAAAAAGCGTATTATTATACAACATTATTAACTATAGTTAATAGAAGAAAGATTTAAAGCAATTAGTCCCGTTTACGAATTTCTATAGAGCAACGAGAAGACGGAGTTGATCTGAAAAATGTGATGTATTTACGCCATACATTTAGAAAAAGCTGGTCAAATATATACTTTTACTTACTTACTTACTTACTTACTTACGCCTGTTACTCCTCGTGAAGGAGCATAGGCCGCTCACCAGCATTCTCCATCCAACCCTGTCCTGGGCAATCCTTTCTAGCTCCGTCCAGTTGTAATTCATCGTTTTCATATCTGCTTCTATTATCCGACGCAATGTGTTCTTTGGCCTTCCTCTTTTTCGCTTCCCTTCAGGATTCCAAGTTAGGGCTTGCCTCGTGATGCAGTTTGATGATTTGCGTAATGTATGTCCTATCCATTTCCATCGTCTTTTCCTAATTTCTTCTTCAGCTGGAAGTTGGTTTGTTCTCTCCCACAGAAGGCTATTGCTGATGGTATCCGGCCAATGGATGTTGAGTATCTTGCGTAGACAGTTATTTATAAATACTTGTACTTTCTTGATTGTGGTTGTTGTAGTTCTCCAAGTTTCAGCTCCATACAGTAGAACTGCCTTGACGTTCGTATTGAAGATTCTCACTTTGATATTGGTTGAAAGTTGTTTTGAGTTCCATATGTTCTTCAATTGTAGGAAAGCGGCCCTTGCTTTGCCGATCCTCGCCTTTACGTCTGCATCGGATCCTCCTTGTTCATCGATGATGCTTCCCAGGTATGTGAAGGACTCTACATCTTCCAGAGTTTCGCCATCAAGTGTGATTGGATTGCTGTTCTCCGCTTTGAATTTGAGGACCTTAGTTTTCCCTTTGTGTATGCTGAGGCCTACTGATGCAGAGACTGCTGCTACACTGGCTGTCTTCATCTGCATCTGTTCGTGTGTACGTGATAGGAGGGCTAGGTCATCTGCGAAGTCCAAATCGTCTAATTGATTCTGAGCTGTCCATTGTATTCCGTGTTTTCCTTCAGATGTTGAGGTCTTCATAATCCAGTCGACCACCAGAAGAAAGAGGAAGGGAGAGAGTAAACAGCCTTGTCTGACTCCGGTCCTTACTTGGAATGCATCTGTCAGCTGTCCTCTATGCACTACTTTGCACTGTAGTCCGTCGTATGAGTTCCGGATAATATTGACAATCTTCTCAGGAACTCCGTAGTGTCGAAGAAGTTTCCATAATGTTTTCCTATCTACACTGTCGAATGCCTTTTCATAATCAATGAAGTTGATGTATAGTGATGAGTTCCACTCAACTGATTGTTCGACGATGGTCCGTAGTGTTGCAATTTGGTCTGTGCACGACCGATCCTTACGGAATCCAGCTTGTTGATCTCGAAGTTGGGCGTCTACTGCATCCTTCATCCGGTTCAGCAACAATCTGTTGAAGACTTTCCCTGGTATTGACAGTAGTGTTATGCCTCTGTAGTTTTCACATTTGCTCAGATCTCCTTTCTTTGGAATCTTGACGAGGTGTCCTTCTTTCCAGTCCATCGGCACTTGTTCCTCCTCCCAAATCTTTTTGAATAGAAGATAAAGCATGCTTGTGGTTGCTTCGATGTCTGATTTCAGTGCTTCAGCTGGTATGTTGTCGGGTCCCGCTGCTTTCCCGGTCTTGATTTGTCTGACGGCCATTCTAATTTCTTCCGTAGTTGGTGGATTGACATCTATAGGAAGATCTATGTGTGCTGCTCCGATGTCCGGTGGATTCATTGGAGCCGGCCTATTCAGGAGTTCCTCGAAGTATTCTACCCATCTGTTACGCTGTTGTTGAATTTCGGTGATTTTCCTGCCTTCTTTGTCTTTGACCGGCCTCTCTGGTTTACTGTATTTCCCTGCTAGTTTCTTCGTTGTATCGTAAAGCTGTTTCATATTTCCTTCTCTAGCAGCTTTTTCTGCCGTCGTTGCTAGTTCTTCCACGTATTTCTTCTTGTCGGCTCTAATGCTCCTCTTCGCTTGTTTGTTTGCTTCTATGTATTCAGCTTGTGCTTGGACTTTCCTGCTCGTGTTCGGCTGTTGTTTATTGCTGCCTTCTTGTTCTTCCTTTCTTTGATCTTGTCCAGTGTTTCTGTAGAGATCCATTCCTTATGATGGTATTTCTTTAGACCGAGAACCTCTTGACACGTTGAAGTTAATGCTTCCTTGATGCCTTTCCAGTTGTCCTCCATAGTAGTTTCTTCTTCTTTCAGATCTTGTAAGGCTTGGAACCTGTTGTTGAGAGCTATCTTGAATTCATTGAGTTTGACAGTATCTCGAAGGAAGGCTGTATTGAACCTTTGTATTGCTGTTTGTCCACTTGTCCAGTTCTTTTTTAGCTTCAGTTTCAAATTGGCTACAACTAGGTGGTGGTCTGAAGCTACGTCAGCACCTCTCCTGGTTCTCACATCTTCCATTGTCCTTCGGAATTTTTTGTTGATGCAAATATGATCTATTTGGTTCTCTGTAGTGTGGTCCGGTGAGATCCATATATATATATATATATATATATATATATATATATATATATATATATATATATATATATATATATATACTTTTGAAGACATTTTATGTGTAAAGGTCAATTAAACGAACGTCCAAGTAAAAACAGTAATGAAGGAGAGAGTGAAATAGCACCATATAGAAAGAATAGGTCATTGTCGCACTACCCTAGGTTACAAAAATGACTTAAGAATTACCAGGGTAAAATCAAGTTTACGACAAATTGTTTTTGTACACATAAATTTACGAATAGCCAAGGCTTCTATAAATCTGGTAATTCATCCTCGAAAATTTCTATACAACTTTTTAAAATCTGTATTGGTATCAATTCTGTGCCTCGTTTCAATTATATGTTTTTCTATCGATAAACATGGTTCTTACTTCCCACGTTGACCGGAACATTTGACATTAGTTGACCCGGACGTTGCTGCTACCTTAACGTGGTGGTTGGGCTTGCCCATCGTAATGAACCAATTGAGCTACAGTGGCTGGAACAATCGTTCTTCAAGGTTCTACCAAGCCAGACAGATCGACTGAAGGACAACAAGACTAAAAGCAAAAAACCCGAGGTCCGAGGGCGACGTCGTCCTGCTAACTGTAGGGAAGAGTGACAGAAGTAATGTGTTTCCTTCAGACAACCAGCATAACAGCGATGCTGCCTTCCCACAAGGAAGGATAGGGTTAGAAAAGGTCGACTCTAAAAATACACACCTCGCCTTCTCCTACGGGTTTCCGTCTCCAGCAGTAAGGTCTCAATAAACACAGAGTTAACACAAAATGGTGTGTGACGGCCCCAAGTAGTTGTCACTTGGACACTGCGGTCACGCTCTCAGGTCACTAAGATCACCTCTACCCAACTGCCTTTTCAGGTACCTCTAGAAGAACCTTTCCACGGTGTAAGCGACCGGGAAGTGGGAACTGCCCTCACACACTTGACAACACTCAAGATCATTGTACTCATAATCAATCTTCATATTCAATTCCTATTAATCCTCCTACCTAGACTCTCAACTCTAAACTTCCTCTTCAAATGTCACCATAACCAGAGATTCTAGTGCGCAAAACACTGTCCCAGGTCTACTAAAACCTCACCCCAAACTACACATTGGAGCCTTCAACGTACACACCCTATGTCAAATCGATCATTGGACCTCCTTGACTAAAACCTTAGAATCTTGTACCATTGATGTATGCTATGTCTCTGAAACATGCATACAAGATCCTAGTGTGCTCATTCACTTGACCTCACCTCGCCATAACAGCGACCCGACGGCAAATCCTCGTGGACTGGCGGGTGTAGGCATAGCACCAAGTACGAGGGCAGAACAAGCACACTTAGAATGGATCCTTGTTGTTCGGCTAAAAAATTCCGTAAGAGCTCGGAAGAATAGGGACACACGTCGTTACCTTTTCGTCATTTCTGCCTA